AAAAAATACACTTAATTGATTTTAAACATGTCCTTATTAACATTTAATGTTAAACAACAATGCTAACTATTGTATAACCAAACAGTTATATTTATCAAATCTGCTATTTACTATCCGCTACCCACTTTCCGCTATCCGTCATCTGCTATCCGTTAACCGCCATCTGCCACCCGCTATCCACTATCTGCTGAATTTTAACCGCTGTACCGGACAGGCCCTTAATTTAATCGATTAATAAAATTTTTAAACCAATTTAATCCACTATTATATGATAATTAAATCAATTCAATTTAAATCGGATTGGTGTGGTTTGGTTAAAGTAATTAGTTTTTAACAATAATATAAAAAATTTTAATATTAAATAGAAAATATAACTATAAAATAAATTAGCATCCAAATCATTAGAAACATAATAAAATACACAAATTATAAAATAAGTTCTTATACTCATTTACAATTGTAAAGATTGAAAACATTAAAAAATTCATTTTAGCTATATCACCAGGGGGATTAAGGATAATAAAAAATGATTCCAAATTTTAAATATAGTGCAAATAACTTTTAAAGGTTAAAACTAATTTTTTTTTTTCTTAATACACCATATGATTCAATTCCATCTTCCGAACCATGTTAAAAGCAATGTTTTTGGGCTCGACCCGGTTGTTGATCTGTTTTGGCCATTAGGTTCGATTGAACCAATTGAACCAATTGAACCAATTCACCCAACTGATCCAATCGGTCAACTAAAAAAACTTTTTTTTTTTACATTTATTAGATTTTGCTATTTTATATTAATCATCATTGGATCTGTTCTACTGCTTTGTTCTGCTGCAAAGAAGCGGATCTATTTTGCTGCTATTGCTCGGTTCTGCTACGAAGTTCAATGAAAGAGAAGATGAGCTATGAAAGGTTGGAAGGGGTTGCCGACGGTGGTGGTTGAAAGTAGATGCAAATCTGTTCTGCTGCTGCTGCTCAATTCGGTGAAGGAGAAGCTGCTGCTGCTCAATTCGGTGAAGGAGAAGCTGCTGCTGTTTGGTGGAGGAAGGCAAGGAAGATGAGCTGCGATGGGCTGGAAAGGGTTGTTGACGGTGGTGGTTAAGAGTAGGGAGGTTGGTGGAGGAAGGATGAGGGAGCTCTAGACTGTTTCTTGAACTTTCTTCTTCATTCTATTTTTTGCAATTTTTTTTTACAGTATTCTATTTTCTGTAGTTTTTTTTTTTTTACAATATTTTATTTTCTACATTTTTTTTTTTTTGGTTGAGAGCAGGGAGGTTGGTGGAGGAAGGATGAAGGAGATCTGGACTGTTTCTTGAACTTTCTTCTTCTTTCTATTTTTTGCAGTATCCTATTTTCTACTTTTTTTTTTTACGATATTCTATTTTCTACATTTTTTTTTATGGTTGAGAGCAGGGAGGTCGGTGGAGGAAGGATGAAGGAGATCTGGACTGTTTCTTGAACTTTCTTCTTCTTTCTATTTTCTATAGTTTCTTTTTTTACAGTATTCTATTTTCTGCAAGTTTTTTGGACTACCGAGTATAGTTTTTCTTTTCAGTTTTGACCTTCAATTAGGGGTTTTTTTTTTTTTTTATCTAATCTTAATTGAGGTTTGAGGGGTTTTTATGTCATAATATTAAAAAGGTGGGATAAAATGGGTATATTACTTGAAAATGAAAAAAAAAAAAATGTTAATTGAGGAGATCTGGTGCAACCCAATGGGTTCAACGGGTCAAACGGGTGGAGCGGGTCAGACGGGTTGGAGCGGGTTAAATGTCAAAACAAGTTGAAAGGTGTAACCGTTCCGTTTTCAAGCTTGGGTCCGGTTGAATCGGTTCAACCGACCAGGTCGGGTCGAGTCTTAAAACATTTGTTAAAAGCAAATAAAATTTAACATGAATATCATTAGGAATGATTACAAGCATTTATAATTAAGATTTAAAACTCCTCAACTGAACATCCAAGAATAGTAAAATTTTAAAATTAGTTCTATTAAATAGTTTTAAGTAGGGATGGCAACGAGGTCCCACGGGGCTGAGGACCCCTTCCCCATCCTCGTCCCCGCAATTCACAGGGACGGGGATCCCCGCGGGGATTTATGACGAGGGTAGATTTTACCCCCCATCCCCATTCCCCACCAAATATCAAATTCTAATCTATCTTTTACAGAGTAGATGGCTTTCGGTAGCAGCAGAGTAGAAGGGTTCGTGAGCAGCAGCAGTGCAGAAGGGTTCGTGAGCAGTAGCAGTGCAGAAGGGTTCGTGAAGAGCAGAAGGACTTGTAAACAACAATAGAGTACATTTGTCAACAACAACAGAGCAAAGCAGATTCGTGAGCAGCAACAAGCAGAAGGGTTCTTGAAGAGCAGATCGTGAGCAGCAGCAGATCGTGAGCAGCAGCAGAGCAGAAGGGTTCGTGAAGAGCAGAAGGACTCATGAGCAACAACAGAGTAGAGCAGATTCGTGAGCAACAGCAAAGCAGAGCAGATTCATGAGCAACAGTGAGCAGAAGCGTTTGTGAAGAGCAAATTGTGAGGAGCAACAGAGCAGAAGGGTTCGTGAAGAGCAGAGTAGATTCATGAGCAGCAACAGAGTAGACGCGAGCAACAAACCAAAGGCAGAAACCAAGATCTGAGAAGGTGAGAGTAAGAGTAATTAGAATGGAGAAATGAATTGGGGTTAGAGTTAAATTTAGGGGAATGAGTTGGGTTGGGTTTGGTTAAGTTGGATTGGGTTGAATAGTATTGGATAAATTAATTTTAATTAATTTGGATTTTGGTTTAAATTTGAAGAGTAAATTAAATTTTAAAATT